CCAACAAACCATGACGAGAGGCGTTACAAATCCTGCGTCGCCCTCCTGGGAACGATCCTGTGGCACTCATCCTTATCAGAACCCTGAGGCAAAACGCTGCTAGAGACGAGCGGGAGAAATCTCGAAACCTCGAGCGTCAAAACGCGGAAGCGCCCCCTCCACTTGGTTACGCTGCTCCAGACCTGCTTAAGGAGAGTATTCCCGGGGGGATCTCGAGCACCCAAAATCCGCGTGAATGCCCCGCTGGGACAGAGGACGCCCTCCTCTGGACGCCCTCCCCCCCACTGTTGCGGTGCGCCGCCGATCCAGGGACCTCGAGTCCCGAACGTCAAGACGTCTAAACTAAAAACATACGCCACGAATAGTTGCTGACATTGGCAGCCCCATTTGAGAGGGGCGACAAGGCAGGATAGCAGTGGGCAGCGTAGAGAATCAACTCAAGTAGCTGTTTTTCTGGCGCCTCCTGGCGCCGGGAGGCGCCCATATACCGAGGACTAGGCCCGGTGGCGGGGCAGGAACCAGCTGCATGCAGCAGATTTCGTGCCCCCCCCCCCTTTTCGGCGGCGGCGAGCCGGGAAAGGAAGTGAGACGGGGTGGGCCTTCTCCGAAGGCTCGGAGTCCCTCGGCCTTCTGGGAGGTCCTCTAAACCTTCCCCGAAGACGAAATATACCTCGCAGAAGGCGCGAGGGCTTCTGAGAAGCCCTGCAGCCTTCTGAGAAGGCCTTCTCCTTCTCACTTACCCCCCCCCGCTCGCCGCCGACCCTTTTCCCTATCCTACCCTCTCGTGCGTCCCGACCTGTGCCCCAGACCTCATCTTTTCGGTTGACCCAAAAGGGGGCCAGCTGAAAGGGGGTCGTGCATTAGTCCGGAGCGGCCAAGAGGGGGGCGTCCAGGCGTCCAAGAGGGGGGGTGCAAATCATGGCCGGCGGCATGTGCGCGGCCCCAGGGGGGGGGCAGGGACGTAATGAATTATCCAAGTGCGACCCTACATGGGAGTTGGAGCCCATAGGAAAGCAGCATTAGTAGTAACAGTAAAGCTAAGCTAAAGCTAAGCTAAAGCTAAGCTAAAGCTAAGCTAAAGCTAAGCTAAAGCTAAGCTAAAGCTAAGCTAAAGCTAAGCTAAACCTAAACTAACGCTAAGCGAAAGCTAAGCTAAAGCTAAGCTGTAGGTAAGCTAAAGCTAAGCTGTAGGTAAGCTGCAGGTAAACTAAACATAAGCAAGCTGAGCTAAAGCTAAGCTAAAGCTAAGCTACAGCTAAGCTAACGCTAAGCGAACACCAAGTTAATTCTAAGATAAAGTTAAGCTAACACTAAGCTACATCTAAGCTACAGCTAAGCCAAAGCTAAGCTAAATCTAAGCTAAATCTAAGGTACAGCTAAGCTAAATCTAATCTATCACTAAGCTAAAGCTAAGCTAAAGCTAAGTTAAAGCTAAGCTAAGCTAAGGTGAGATAAGCTAAGCTGAGCTAAGCTAAGCTACAGCTAAGCGAAACTAAGCGAAGCTAAGATGAGCTAAGACGAGATAGGCAACGCTAAGATAAGGGGACGTACCTGGGGGAACCGCGGGGCGGGGACTGGGGGAACCGCCCGGGGCGTTTTCCACTGACCGCCCCTTTAAGCAAACCAAGTAAGAACCTCTAGGCAGAGCCTAGGTAGGGAAATAGGAAGAGGCGCCATGAAATCAGCGGAAATATCATGGCCCACGCCATGATATCCACCCCCCCCTAGTCGTCACCCCCCTCTTTGCCGCCCCCGACAATGGGTTGGGGCAAGAGTATTGCAGATGCGTTGCGCCAGAGCATTGTGTTGCCTTGTATTTCGTCCAGTGCACTGCACGCGAAGAGCCGGCAACACACCTGCGCACCAGACTGCAACGCACGCCCCAATTAAAATCGATCACAGCCCCACAAATCTATTGCACCAAATCTACAGTCAACCCGCAGAGTAAGGATGCGCGATAAGGATGCAAGGCCCTCGGAAGCCCACTGCGAGGCTCTTCGAACGGGGCGCGGCCAACGAGTGTGGCCAAGGATGCACCGATGAGGCAGGGATGCAAGGGTGCCCTTGGGGAGGTTGCCCATCCTCACTATGCGGGTTGACTGTATTGCCCCAAACCTGTTTCACCACCTCCTTTCAGCTGGACCTCCTTGAAGGGGCCCTGGGACACACAAATCAATACACACACAAATGAAACAGATTCCCCATATCTTCCGACATGTTCTGGGCTTCTGTCTCCCCCCCCACTGCCCGTATGTTCCCATATTCTCTGGGGAGTCGACGATTCACTGTGTGGGCGAGCAACGACATATGTACATGTACGCCCTCCGCGGTCTTGCCTGCACGAACGTCCGCGTTGACACGCACTCCAGGGGAAGCTAACCGCGTACGTGTACATATGTTGCTGGCCTCTGACTGTGTCTGTGTGCTTTTTCCCCTCCTGACTCCTCCTGGGCCTCCAGAGCCCTCCTGCGAGCGGCAGGCGTGCCCTCCGGGCCAGGTCGACCCGTGAGGCCCTGCAGGGCCCGAGATCGGGCGAGCGCGCGCCCGGTGCAGAGAAGCGGTGACGCCCGTTACCAGCCTGGAACATGTCCACATCCCTACAAAAAGGACGCGAAGATCGGGGCAAAATCGGACCGGGAGAACTCGAAATCTCTGAGAATCGGCGGGTTTGGAAGATGTAGTGGGCGCCGCGGCCGCTCCAGAGCGTTCCGGAACGCTCTGAGAGCGCTCCGGAACGCTCTGGAGCGATTTATCCCGATCCTAGCCCTGTTTTACCCTATGCTGGGCACCTCCTCATCACGATGCCAATCTTAGGGACTCCCTTGTTCTTTGAGGGCGAATCCCTGAGATTGTCATCGCCTTTTGGCGTGTCAATCTTAGGGATAGGGATACGTTCGAGCCTGGTAAGCCCGGACCTCAGGGTGCCTCGATGCCCGAAGCCAGCGAGACAGCGAGAAAAGCTGGGGCGCGCGACGCCCAGGGCAGAAGACGAAGTCAGGACGAGGATACAAATTGGGGTGAGGCCAAGCCGAGAATCCCTCAGCTCCAGCAGCTCTGGAGGACATCTCGGGCACCGCGGCCTTCTCAGAGCGTTCCGGAACGTTTTGAAAGCGTTCTGGAACGCTCTGGAACGGATTAATCCTCGTCCCAGCCCCGTCTGACACATGCAATATCGAATCGGACGACACTGGGGGGTAGAAGCATCGTGCTACCAGATCAGCTGCGTGCACTCAGTTTTCTTGCGCTGGCGCTGGGGGCGCCAGTGCATCGAGAAACGCTCCGGATGACGGGGCCCAAGCCAGCTGCAGCCCCCTTTCTCACCCCCCCCCTGTCCGTCCGACCCGAATACCCATCGGTCGGAAGAAGCAGCTAGAAACATGACGCAGGAAGAGTCTGTGTTTTTTCCCACAGAGTCTGTGTTTCCCCATAGAAACATGACGCAGGAAGAGTCTGTGTGTGTGTGTGTTTTGTGTGTGTGTGTGTGTGTGTTCCCACTGTGTTTTTTTGTGTTGTGTGTGTTTTTGTGTGTGTGGGTGTTGTGTGTGTGTGTGTGTGTTTGTGTGTGTGTGTGTTTTCCCACAGCTGCAAGCAGATCGGGCTCCCTCCCGCCCCCCAGGGAGGCCGGAGGAGGCGAAGCCGCTCGATCCTCGCAGCAGGAAGGGCGCTCAAGGTGGACTGTGGACTCCCGGAGCCCGAGAATATACCCACTCCCTCGACGACCGCGACGGGCCCCCGCTCGGGCCTGCACGACGCGCGGAGCGAGCTGGGGCAAGCCCGGGGAAGCCCGCGCCTGTATGAAGGGGCCCCAGGACACACAAATAAGTACACACAAGTGAAACTATTCCCCACATTTCCCCATCTTTTCTGGGGTTCTCTGTCTTCCCCCCCACCTGCCATATCTTCCTATATTTTCTGAGGAATCGACGATTCCTTGTGTCTGTGTGTTTTTTCCTCTCCTGAGCCTGGCACTGGCGCCGCTGCTCGGAGCAGCCCGGCTCGTCGAGGGCCCGAGAGCGCCGCCGCGGCGCCGAGGCGACGGCGAGGCGCCCAGGAAAAGCCTCGAGCCTCGGGCCCAGGAGGCTGCGGGCAGAGGCCGCCCCGAGGGGGTCCGAGCATAGACGTGGCCGGAGGGTCGCAGCGCATCGCCAATGCCTCGGCGATGCCTCGTCGGTGCCTCGCCGGCGTCGGCGACGCGTCGGCGGCGTCGGCGTGGAGAAAATCGGGCTCTCCGCGTCGAGCCGCATCGTCGGCGCATCGGCGGTGCGGCGCCATCCTGCGACCCCATCTACTCGGACCCCATCTGGGAGGAGTGAGGGGGGCTTGCACATACGGGGGAGACATCGACCTGAGATCGGGGACACACTGCCACGGGCCCCCGATGGCGAGGCCGTTCGGTCCTGGGCGGGGTGGGACATCAGGCCCCTATCAGCGATTCATGGGCGACTGAAGGCCAATGCATTCCCCCTGAGCCTATCGCCCAATGGCCGAAACTGGCGAAAAGCTTACGCACTCTTCCCCCCAAAAACACAGTATGCAGGAACAGCTGGCTTTCCCAGGTCAGTGTGGATTTGTTGGTTCGGCGCTGGACCCCCTCCCTGGCGCATGGAGCGCGCTGGGGGCGGCGCCAGAGGCACCGTTAGAGGCGCCGCCAGGGGGGACCAGCGCCGGTCCAACTCCGCCTGTAATGTACACGCATGTGTTTGCTTTTCTTTTTCTTCTTTGACTGACGTTGCCCCCCAGCGGCCGCCGTTCGGGACGACTCTCTCTGGCATCCCTGGGTCGCTCTCGTCGAGGCGAAATCGATCGAGCACGCTCCGAGGGCACCCGAGGCGAGAAAACCTCCAAGGCCCGACGAGCGCGTGGAGCGAAGCTCCGAGGAGCGGGAGGGCCTTCGGGCCTGCTGAGATGGCCCCGAGCCCATCCGCCTGCGAAGGCCCCGAGGCCATCCCCCCCCCACGTCGCCCCTCGCGCCAGCCTCGCGCTCGCGGCAAGCCTGGCCGTCACCTCCGGCGGGAGCGGGAGCGCCTGCGGGGCGGCTGAACGCAGTGCGCGCGGGCCGGGCGGCTTGCTGTGAGCGAGGGGGCGCCACTGAGATCCGAGCGCGCCGCGGCCTTTTTCGCACCGTTCGTTCCCAGGCCTGAGGTACGGCAGGTCTGCGTCGTGACGACGTGGGCGTTGGCTTCTGACACCGCGTGGATCGTTCCACCCAGAACGATGGGCGGCTTCATCGCCAATCCGTTCGTATCGGCCGATGCGGAGCCGCTGGCGGCCATCAATCCTGGACGCCCAAGCCAGTCTCGCCGCCGCGTCGACACGACACGAACCGTCCGCACGTTCGAACACATGGCCACAAGAGCGTGGGCCAAGAGCACGGGCCCTGCCCCGAGACCCCGCGGCCCGAATCTGGTCAGACGCCCACCGCAGCTTTCTGTCACGACGCGAGGCGGTGAGTTTCACCCCCCGTGCCCCGAGAGAGACAGACGCGCGGCTGGGCGCCGCCCGAGATGGGGCTGGAGAAGCGGATCGCATAGCATTAGGTCGGGCACCTCCCCCTAGAGGCAGATTTTGCAGGACACATTCAAAAAAGTCCAAACATACTCACAAAAAATTGTCGGCAATTCGTCCCCAGACTACTTTGTTGACTATTGTTTTGGTATTCCTCCAGATTGACGGGGGACAGGCCCGACTTAGGCAAAGCATCGCTGGTGCGTCGGCGATGCAGGAGCGACGCCATGATGGAGCAAGCCTGGCTCGGAATCTCGCCGCTCTGCCCATGCAGCGGGGATGCGGCGCCGTGCCCCGACCCTGCTCACACCCGAAGCGTCACCTAGACGAAGAACAAACACCAAGCAGGAAGGCGGATCAAGTAGATCGGGTCCAGGCCCTCCCAGAGAATAACAAAGCACAGCAGAAGCATACCGACTCTCGAAGTAGGGATGCCCTCGAAGTGGACTGTGGGACCTGGGCATCCAGAAATGCCTACCTACTTTCAACGACCGGCGTGCAGGCTTCCCGACCCCCAGTCTGAGGAGCGGCCAGAGAGACGTGGAGCCCTCCCAATCCCAACGAAGTGGTCTAGAAGAAGAACACACGCCATAAACATAAGTTTTCAGCGCTCCTCGCGGATTTCTTGGATCCGCGCTGGACCCCCCCTCCCTGGCGCGCGGAGCGCGCCAGGGGCGGCGCCAGAGGCGCCGCCAGGGGGGCCCAGCGCGGATCCAGGAAACCCGCGAGGAGAGCTCAAAGTTCAGTTTCTTCTTCGAGCCTGGCCGATGCAGCGGGAGCGCGCCAGGGGCGGCGCCAGAGGCGCCGCCAGGGGGCCCCGGCGCGGATCCAAGAGACCCGCGCCGAGCGCCAAACGTTCATGCTCAGGCCAGTGTGCGGCTGAGTGAAGAAGATTTTGTTTTGGCGCTTCAAAGGCGCTGCCGTTGAGGCTGACTGGCCAGCGAGGCAACCGAGGGCCGGCGGGTCGCATGAGCGCGAGTCGGAAGGAAGAGCGACCTGTGTTTCCTTCTTCGGTGACCGCAAGATGCGGGGCGTGAAGACGACCACGGCCACTGGTTTTCTTTTGTTGCCGCCTCCCAGCCAGCAGAAGCACAGCAGTGGTCGTGGTCGTTTTCGTGAAGCTTCTCTTTCGGCCTGCTGGGAGGTGGCGCAAACAAGCAGCAGTGGCTGTGATCATTTTCCCGTCCCGCGCAAGAGCAGGCGAAGGCCCGAGGCCCCGGGGGCCCCGGGGTCGAGGCGGGGCCGGCCTCCGGCGTGCGGCTCTGTATACGTCGGCGGGGCAGGGACGGGCAGAGGCGACACCGGCACCACTGTAGTGCGAGGAGCTGCGCGGGGAGGCAATGGGGTGAAGCAGGGGCCGACCGTCCCAGCATGCCCACAGGCCTTCCACGGCATTTTAGAACCCCAAGCGGTTCTGAGAACAGAAGCAATGCTCCCAGGACCGAACTTCGATGCGTTAAAACAAGACAGCCCCAGCCAGACATGTGCGTGTTCTAAAAACATTTCTTAGAAACGACAAAAAGCTTCTTAGAAGACCGATTGGTAGGCCTACAGGCATGCCAGGACGCTTCGCCACTGCTTGAAAGGGAGGGTCTCCCTGGTGGTGTTTCCCCCCCCTCTCGCTCGAGACGTCCCCAGCCGCCAGCTCGGGGCGGCACCGTGGACCTCCTCGCCGCAGGTGGGCCTCCTGGCGGTGCTGGTGTCGCGGCTCCTCTCTCCGAGCGAGGGGGTGAGGGGGGGGGGAACACAGTAAAGGAGCCCTAGGACACACAAATAAATTCACACAAATCCCAGGATTCCCCATATTTTCCGATATGTTCTGGGTTTTTGTCTTCCCCCCACTGCCCATATTTTCCGATATTTTCCGGAGGATCGACGATGAATTGCGTCTGTCTGTTTTCTCCCCTCCTGACAAACACAGGTGCGCAGGCTGCTGGTGTCGCATCGCACCCAACGAGCGGGGGACCCCAGTGGCCAGCTACCCGCGTGGGACCGCACGGGCCACTGCTGCATGCAACCAGCCAAAAGGATGCGGCGAATTGTTGTTTACCCTGTCCCTGGGGCTGGCTTTTCATCCCGAGTTGCTTTTCGACGGCCACGTTTCTCAATGACGCCCCCCCCCGAGACCAAACATGGCGAACGACTGCTGTGCGTTCTTGATCATGGAACGAGAAGATCTGCAAACGCACGAGATGTTTCCTAGGTCCGCGTAGATACCCGCAAGTTTAAGCATGAGTTACTCGACTCCAACATATTAGAGGTATGTGGTCGGAACTGAAAGGCACACAAAAAGCAACCCCAGACCTCTCCAGCAGTGCGCTTTAGCCAGAACTTCGAGGCACACCCAGCCGTGGCAACGAGGAGGGGCCCAGAAAAGGCAAAGAAGACGTGATAGACCTCGAACCCCGGACGTTCAACTGTTGGCCTGTTTTGCGTAAGCGCGCTGCTGGGTACCAGCTGTTGCACTGGCGCACCTGGGCGATTGTCACCAAAGCGAGGCGAGACAACTACTGCACCAACGCACCGAAACCACGACTGCACTGTTTGAGTTTCCCAGAGTCCCAGTCAGCATGTCAAGCCAGAGGAGGGAGAAGAGGAGGAAGAGGAAGAGACCAGGCGCGGCTAAAACTTCGATCAACGCTGGTAGAACGAAAATCCGCTGACCCACGCTTGCCGGGGGGGACAAGGCGTGTGAGACATCCCCACTCTTAAGTCGGGCGTGTCCCCCTACAGGGGGATTTTCGACGAAAAATAAAAGATACCCTAGAAATAATCAAGAAATAATGCAACAATTGTCCGGGGACTATTTTTTGAGTATTTTTGTTACCTTTTTGGGGTATGTTTGGTGTTTCTTATTTCTCGTCGAAGGTCATCCTGTGGGGGGACACGCCCGACATAACCCCACTCCCAAGGCCCACAATGTCGTTAAGGGGGGGAGGGACAACGGGCTCCTGCTGGGCTCCACGGCACACGTAAGAGGCCTCCGAGCCAGAGCCTCCGAATCCGGCCTCCGTCGCCTCTAAGGTGCCAAAGACGCTGTCCAGACTGCCTACCAGACCACCCCAGCCCAACCCGAAGACCCGAATCTGACCCGAATCTCGGGTTGGGGGGGTACGGGTTCCATGTGTTTTTTCAATGTTCCCCGACCCCCCACCCCAGCCGGAAGTGGAGGGCAAATTGAAGCCTTCGGGTTGGGTTGGGGTGGTTTGGTGAGTGGTGATGTCCAGGATCGCCCCAGGGGAGACCGCCCCAGGAGGGCACCAACACGCCCAGATGGCCTCAAGAGCACTCGAGATGGCCTCCATACTGGCCAAGAAGCCTCTAAGACGCCCCAGGGAGGGCTCCAAGAGAAACCCAAAAAGACCTCGAGAGGACCAAAGAGGGCTCAAAAACTCAGGAAATCATTGACTTGCTCGAAATACTGTAATCGTCTTCACGGAGTGGCCCAAAACGGCTCAAAAGGCACAAAAGAGGGCCCAGAGACAACCAAAGCGGGCCTTCAGACAACCCAAGAGGCCTCCAAGACGGCCAGACAAGCCTTCAAAAGGGCCCCAAGGAGGCCGGACATGCCCCCAAGAATTTTCCAAATGGCCCAAACCAGCAGGACTCGTGAAAAGGCTCCAGGAGGCTGCCCCCTAGGCCCCCAGAATGCCCCTAAGAAGCGAAGACCCCTCCAACAGACTCGGAAGAGGAGGTGAACGCACCAACGACAACTACACGCAAACAACACAAGAAAAGACAAACAACATATACCGAATAAGAAAACAACGCACGTATCCTCTTCGGAGGGTCGGCGGAATGACGTGAGCTTCTTGAATGAATTGAACTGGCAATCTTTTCATCCCCGCGGCTGGGAATCGCCGGAAGGACCACCGCCATGAAAAGACAGGCATCCCCAGACCGCCAGTCACAACGCAAAACAAGCTCGTACCAGCGGCGGGGGAACCCGCCGCGCCGCTGGCTGTCTCCGCGAGCGCACCGGCACTGGCCCCAGGACCCTGGGCAAGACGAAGCCAGGACGAAGATAAACTCGGGTGGGGATAATCTCGGGAATCTCTGAGACCTGGCGGCTCTGGAGGATGTCTCGGGTGCCGCGGCCTTCTCGCAGCGTTCTGGAACGCTCTGATTCGAAACTTCAACTTATGGCGCTCCGTGAAGATATCTTGGATTCACGGCGGTCCCCCCTGCCTGGCGCGTGGGGCGCGCCAGGGGCGGCGCCGGAGGCGCTGCCAGGGGGGTCCTAGCGCGGATCCACGAAATCCGCGCGGAGCGCCAACAGTTTATGTTTATGCAGTTTTTTCTTCTTCGACTGAGAGCGCTCTGGACCGCTCTGGAACGGATGCATCCTCGCCCTAGCCCCGTCCGACCAACACCCTGGAGTACAGCAGAGGGCTCGACCACAACAAACAACCCGACCCCGAGACCCCAGGACGCCCATTGATCTTTGGCGTGGAACGCCGCGCTTTCCGTGGCATGCCCCCATCGAAACCCAAGGAGCCCGGGGCACCCTGGAGGCAAGCAGCGTGTCTCTTGGCATGCAGTCGGGGTGTATTGAAGAGGACACGCGAGAGGACACGAGACTCTTCTGATGGCCACAGCGCTGGTGGAAGGTGGGGGGCATGGGTCGCGAGAAACGGGACACGAGGGTACCCTTGTCTGGGCAGGGTCGACCTACCAATCAAACTCGACTGTGGGCCTCCTCTGCAGCCCTGCCGCCCCGCTCACCTCGGCGGCCCCCAGCGGCCGAGACCGCGGGGCCCCCCGCGCGGATGGAGGCGCGCCTGTCGCGGTTGTGCCTGGGGGCGGGCGCCGGCCGCCGCCAAGCTGGGCCCCCATCGTGAGGAGGAGGAGGAGGAGGAGGAGGAGGAGGAGGAGGAGGAGGACGAGGAAGAGGAGGAAGCGGAAGATGAGGAGGAGGAGGAGGATGCGGAAGAGGAGGAGGAGGACGGGGGGGGAGAAGGAGGAGAGGAGGAGAAGGAGGAGAAGGAAGAGATGAGGCGGAGGAGGAGGAGGAGGGGAAGAGAAAGAGGAGAGGATGAGGATGATGATGATGATGATGATGATGAGATGAGGAGGAGGAGGAGGAGGAGGAGGAGGAGGAGGAGGAGGGCGAGGAGGAGGAGGGGGAGGAGCAGAGGAAGAGGAGAGGGGGAGGAGGAGGAGGATGATGAGGAGAGGAGGAGCAGGAGGGAGGAGGAGGAGGAGGAGGAGGAGGAGGAGGAGGAGGGAGGAGGATGAGGAGGAGGAGGAGGAGGAGGAGGAGGAGGAGGAGGAGGAGGAGGAGGAGGAGGAGGAGGGGAAGGAGGAAAGGAAGAGGAAGAGAAGGAGCAGGAGGGACCTGAGATCCAGGCGTTGCGATTGTCCCACAACGGGCAGTTTCGCCCAGGTTCAGGCCCCAGGGCCCTTTCAGATCGATCTGGGTCGAAAACAGGAGCAGAAAGATGGGGTCTCGGGCTGTGGTCGTGACTGTGGACGATCAAGCAATCTTGCCGCGACGTCAGATCTGAAGGGAAGGGGGAAGAACATGATATAGCGAATCCGCATGCAACTGGGCGGGACGGGCTAGCGGCTATCGAGTTCCAATGTGCGATCAATTGGTGATTGGGCCGATGCATCCCCCTCGAGCCTGTTCCCCCATAGCGTTAAACTTGATCGTCCTTCGTGGCGCCGAACCGCCCAACTCACGCGGGAAGGGGCATCTCTCGAAGTTCCGAAGAAAGGCGAGGAAGAGAGGACGCACGAAGGCGGACAGGGAAAGGGCCAACAACCGAAAAAATGCGGGCGACGGCACATAAACGTTCCAGCACTGGTAAAGTCTGCCGGCCCCCGTGGGCCCACCAAGTGAGTCTTGAGCACAGGCGTGCTGCCACGACACTCCTGGCTAAGGGGCGAGGCTGGCCAGGGTGACTGGACCAAGGGATTGCTAGACCAGCAAACACAATACAAACAGCCGCCTCCATGCCGTCGGGCTGCGCCGGGACGAGGCACAGCCAGACACAGGACACAATACCATCCTTCAAGAACATGACACCCTCCACCGGCCAAAAAAACGCCCCGTGCCAGCAGAGTGCCCCCCCCCCAGGTTGCACAGCAGCATCCAAGAAACACGAAGATCGGGTCGTAGATGATTTTCCCGGCGCCTCCCAGCGCCAGAGGCGGCCATGCATCGAGGAATGGGCCCCTCGGCGAGGCCGAAACCAGCTGCACGCAGCAGATTTCGCCCCCCCCCCCTGTCCAACCCCCCCCCTATTTCGCCCGGCCCGAGCAGAACATCAGGGTGCCCTCCCCGAGCCGACCTCGCTCTCGTGCTTCGGTGCGGCTGCGCAGCGCCAGTTTGGACGCCCGAGATGGGTACCGAAAAAATGGGTACTATGCCCAACAGCACGTGCTCCCAAACCAACAGCGGCCGCTGTTGGGCAGGCGGCCTCCTGTCTCGAATGGACACAGGCCGCGGCGGCGTGGACAGCGAGCCCTGTCCAAACTGAACAAGATCCGTTGTACCCATTCTTTCCGTACCGATTTCGTGCGCGCAGCGCCAGAGGGGGAGCGATGGAGCTGCAGGGCCGCGCGGCCCGGGGCGACTCCGGCGCCGCGGGGCCCGCGCGGCTCTCCGCGGGCGGGCGGGGCCGCCGCCCGCGGAGAGCCGCGCGGCGGCTGTCCGTGGTGCGCCGGGAGGGGGCGCGCGGCGTCGGAGGAGCGGCGGGCGGCGCGCCGGCGCTTCGCGCTCGCGCCCGCGCCCTGCCGAAGAGAACAGGACAGTGGGCTACGCGTCGAGAGGAGGTGGCGGGGAGGGAGGGAGGGAGGGAGGGAGGGAGGGAGGGAGGGAAGGGAGGGAGGGAGGGGAGGAGGGAGGAGGGAGGGAGGAGGGAGAGGAGGGAGAGGGAGGAGGGGAGGAGGAGGAGGAGGAGGAGGAAGGAGGAGGAGGGGGAGGAGGCGGAGGAGGAGGAGGAGGAGGAGGAGGAGGGAGGAGGAGGAGGAGGAGGAGGGAGGAGGAGGAGGAGGAGGAGGAGGGAGGAAGAGGAGGAGGAGAATGTGCCTTTTCACGCCCCGAAGGCTCCACGCCTGTTTGTCTGCGGGTAGACAGAGCGGGGGGCGACGAGGAAAGCAGGGGGGAGAGGAGGATGACGAGGCCGAGGGGGAAGCAACGACCACCCCAAAGCGCAGAAACAACAACGCGGAAGGACAGGAAACGCGAGGGGGGCGACACGATGACGATGCAAGACGAAACGAGGCAACCGACAAGAGAAGAGAAACCCTCGGCACCACCGACCCGAAGCCGCTGTGAGTGGCCCGAACACCACCACGTCACATTCCCGAAACGGAACGCTAGATGGCGAAACACGTGTCCGCCGCAGCAACGCGCTCAATTCCCAGGGCCAGATCTTAGGACACTATGCATACCAGTAGTAAGGGTAATACGAATAAACACAAAAATCATGGTAATTAATAACGAGAGGAATAATCAGAATAACGAACGGATGATAAGAAAACGAACAATAATAAAACAAGCATAAACAACAATATTAATCCATTGACACCCGTGACGTTGATGGAACCAGCGAGCCACCAGACCTGGAGAGGCAGGTACGATGCAACATTCCAATACTCATAGTGAAAGAACTTTCCGAACGGGTCGCCAGCGAGAAACGCCGAACCATCTGGCACCCCCTCACAGAACGGATAGTCCAGGAGGTCGTCCGGAGGCAAGGCGGGAGGACTACGAACACAGGCTCGATGCGTCCGTCCGCAAGCCGAGCGAACCCTTCGAACACAGTGAGAAGCACCCTGATGAACTCCGATGCCTCCTCAAGAAACGGTTCGAGCATAGTCACCCATCTGCAGGACTATTTACATGGTTTCGTGCTCCTCCCACCCCTCCAGGGAGGCCCCGCCTGAGCGACGAGGGTATCGGAACCCCATCTTATTTACATGGTTTCGTGCCCCTCCCATCCCTCCAAGGAGGACCCGCTTGAGCGAGGAGGGTATCGGAAACCCATACTATTTACATGGCTTCGTGCCCTTCCCACCTCTCCAGGGAAGCCCCGCCTGAGCGAGGAGGGAATCGGAAACCCATACTATTTACATTGTTTCGTGCCCCTCCCACCCCTCCAGGGAGGCCCCGCCTGAGCGAGGAAGGTATCGGAAACCCATGCTATTTACATGGTTTCGCGCCCCTCCCACCCCTCCAGGAAGGCCCCGTCTGAGCAAGGCGGGTATCGGAAACCCACACAATTTAAATTGCTTCGTGCCCCTCCCACTGACATGGGTGAGGAGGAGGGGAAAACATTACCTATCCATCTCACGTCCTACTCCTCCCACTGAGGAGGGTGAGGAGGAGGAGGGGGAGTTCTGCGATGAGGAAGGCTTCGTCATGATGATGGTGATGACGATGGTTATGCTGCTGTTCACGATGGCGATGACGATGGCGATACTGGTGATGGGCGATGACGATGGCGATAACGGCGATTATGATGTTGATGTTGACGATGATAACGATGATGATGATGATGATGATGACGATGATGACAACGACGACGACGAGGATGATGATGCAGATGCTGGTGATGGTGACGATGCTGCTGCTGATGCTGACGTTGCTGGTGCTGTTGGTGATGATGACGACGATGATGCTGATGATAATGACGTCTACGATGATGCGGATGGTGATGCTGATGACGGTGATGACAATGATGATGACGATGATGGCGACGACCATGATGATGATGACGCTGGCGATGATGGTGATGATGATGATGATGGTGATGATGATGATGCTGATGATGAGGAAGATGATGGTTATGATGGTGCCGATGATTAGGATGATGATACTGATCATCATCATGATATGATGATGCTCTTCACCATCATCCATCTTATCCTCTTCCTCCTCCTCCTCCTCCTCCTCCAAGAGGGTATCGGAGCATCGGAAAACAATGCAGTTTACACGGTTTCGTGTCCCCCCTCCACTCCTCCAGAGAGGCCGCGCTTGAACGAGGAGGGTCGCGGAAAGCATGATTCTTTACCAGGTTTCGTAGCCCTCCCCCTTTCCAGCGGGGCCCCGCCAGAGCGAGGAGGGTATCAAGAAACCGTACTATTTACAAGGCTTCGTTTCCTGAGCACCTGTCCTCCCTCCTCCTTTCTTTCGTCTGCCCTTTCGTGCGTACTTACTCGTTCGATGAACTTCTCCTTCGTGTTGATGTTGTCGTACCCCATGGGTCCCGCGAAACCGTTAATATCTTTAGTTGGGAACTCCGTTAGCATAATTGTGCCTGTGTGTTTTTTCCCTCCTGAAAGATGTCTGCAAGCCGAACGGCCTGGAGAGCGAGCCGCGGGTGGGGGGGGATGACTGGCAGCTCGGCGATGCCACGGCCTACGGCATCCAGACGCACGCAAACGTCATCGGTAACACGCTGAAGCCCCATGCAGACGACATTGCAAGCATTGCCACATATCAACACGGATCTGGCAGAGGGCACCATGGAGTCCAAAGGCTGCATAGACGCATCCGCGAGATGCAGCCTGGATGCCACACCCGTCTCGGCTTCCGCTCCGGAACATCTTGCCGTCCGTCCCGATAGTCTCCTCAGCGCTGCCGTGGCAGACGCTGTCAGCACCAATGGACCCAACCTCGGCGATGAGGACCTCCTCCGCAAGGTACCTCCGCAAGATACGTTACGATGCAAATCTCAAGCACCATTATAACCAGCCTCGAACGTATCCCTATCCCTAAGGTTGACACGCCAAAAGGCGATGACAATCTTAGGGATTCGCCCTCAAAAAATAAGGGAATCCCTGGGAACGACCGTAGAGAAGGAAGCGCAGCAGGGCAGGAACGCACTGGGCTGTCATACTCCTCCGCGTCCTGCCGACTCGGCTTCTTCGAGTGAGGTTCCAGCGCGGCCCCGGACGCAGCCCCCGGATCGGCGCCCTGAGACCACGCCACGGGTGGGCTCCTCCCCCTGCGCAGACCCCGCAGACGCCGTGGGGAGGTCCCTCCACGGCGTCGTCATCCTCCTCCTCCTCCTCCTCCTCCCCCTCCTCTCTCCCTCTCCTCCTCTTCTCCTCCTCTCCTCCTCCTCCTCCTCCTCTCCCTCCTCCCTCCTCCCTCCCTCCCTCCCTCCCTCCCTCCCTCCCTCCCTCCCTCCCTCATTCCCCCCATCATCGTGGTCGTCGTCGGGTGGAGGACCTCCGCTCGGAGCTGAGCTCGCTCGCCTCGCGGCACACGGCTGCAGCCAGAAGAAAGCCATGCTGACCCCCGAGCTGAAGTGGTGACCAAGGTCCATCCACTGTGACCACCGCCTCTGCGAGCTGCGAGGCCACGTCCAGCACCTTCAGCATCGAATGCTGGAGGTCCGCAGCAATGGCACCAGCACGCGGGTGTAGCACGGCCTTGATTTTCAGGGGGCCCCATCCGGTTGTGGAAGGAAGTCCGCCACAGACCTTGTCCCGCAGCAACTGAAGCTGCGCGGCGATGACCGTGGCCCGAGCGGCGCCGAACGGGGCACGTGGTAGCAAGCGAGGCCTGCCAAAAGCTGTGCGCCCCAGAAGCTTGGGCAAACAGCTAGGAGAAGGAGGAGGACAAGGAGGAGGAGGAGGAGGAGGAGGAGGAGGAGGAAGAGGAGGAGGAACAATTTCGAGGGCGAGAAGGATGCAGAGACGAGGGGGGCGGCAGGAGGGGAGTGAGGAGGAGGTTGAGGGGCGGACGGAGGAAGAGATGCCGATGGGAGATTCAGGAGGATGAGAAGGGGGACCAGATGCACGGCAAGGAGGAAAAGGAATAGACGACGGGGGGAAAGGTGGCAAAGGGGGAGGACAGCTGGAGCTGGATGAGGGGGGAACAGGGAAGCTGATGGGGGAGGAGGGGCGGAAAAGGAGGAACGGAATAGAGTGAGAGGGGGCAGCGGGGGGGAGTTACGCATGGAGAGGATGACAAGTAAGCGAGGGGAAGGAGGAGCAAGCGAGACAGTGAATTGGGAGCAGAGGGTTGACACCCACCCTGAGTCCACCTCTCCCTTCCCAGAGCGCCTGCTTGCCATTCGCCACATCCTCATTTGACTCCTTTTTCGTGATCCTCCTGATCCTCCTCCTACCGCTCCTGCTGCTGCTCCTAAGCCCGCTCGCATGGCAGGCCTTCTCATCAAGGCGGCAGCATAATGCACGGCGGGCCAAAGACCGGTCCCAGGTGGCGGTCTGACCAGACTTCCGAGGTGGATCCAACCGGGGTGACGATGGCTCCCCAGGACCACGCGAGGCGGCTCATCTGTTAGGGGGCCACATGCGAACCCTACCCCTACCCCCTCAGAAATCGTGGGGGGTTAGCGGTAGGGTTCGCATCTGGCCCCCTATCTGTCGAGTGCCAACCTCGACCTCAGGTCCACTGACTCTGCTCGTCATCCTGGTCCCCCCATCTTCTCCTCCGCACCCTCGCCCTGCTTTTCCCCCCTTCTGCGGCCGCTCCCGCCAGGCGCACTGGAACCGGTGCAGCGCGACCCGCTTATACTGGCCATCGCTCGGACGTCCATTCCCTGTGCATTTTTCGTTTTCGTGCGTGTTTTTTCCGCCAAGTGGTCAAGGATGCTCCTCGATGGTCCCCACCGAGGAAAAAATGCACGCGTCCGAGCGATGCCAAGCTTATAAGCATGCGCGGCAAGTGTGGCCCACTGCTGCGGGCTGGGAAGGGCCGAGAGGCGAGGACGCAGTGGCGCCGTGGAGGCGTTTCGCATATTCTTGCGGCGCGCTTAGGCAGCAACGGCGGCGCGGCGCAGCTCGTCCACAAGACCGGCGCGCCGGTCCGAAGCTTTAGGCTCTCTCTCTCTCTCTCTCTTTACCAGCCTGGAACATATCCCTATCTCTATGCTGGGCATCTCCTCATCACGATGCTAATCTTAGGGTTTCCCATATTTTTTGAGGGCGCATCCCTAAGATTGTCATCGCTTTTTTGGCGTGTCAATCTTAGGGATAGGGATAAGTTCGAGGCTGGTAATATTTCTCTCTCTCTCTCTCTCTCTCTCAGGGGGGCCTCCGAGGAGGACTCTGGGGCCGCCCGGAGCCGCGCTCTTGGAGGTCCGCTCCGCTGCCCTTCGACCGTCTTGCCGTCCGAAGGCATCGGCTCCCCCGCCTCACTCCTCCTCGGGAGGAGGAGCAGTAAAAGCAAGAGTAAGAGAGCGCCGAACAAAAAGGAGCAAGAGAGCGCCGAAAAAGGAGGAACAGTAAAAGTTAGAGTAAGAGAGCGCCGACAAAAAGGACGGGTGCGATCGACCGCCCCCGCCGCCCCCCGCCGCACGCGCGGGCGGTGCGCGCGCAAACTGCGCGGCGCTGGGCCGAGCGCCTCGCCGACGGGGGTCCGGGATGGACAGACCCCCCTCTAGTAAAACGTGGTTCAGTGAAAACGACCTGAGGCCCAAACCTGGCGGGCGCAAGCCTGGAAAATAGCGGCCACGGCGCCCTCTCGAGAACCGAAAACGGACAATTCACTAGTCGACGTGTCACTGTTGGGGGTTCTGCCCACCCCCGAAGGGGGACGTGGCGGGTACAACGTGGCGGGTACAACCCTCTGCCCCTGTGGTAAAGCACCACGGCCGTCGGCCAGGAGGCCGCAGCGGCGGGGGCCCCACGCCCAGCCAGCCCGTGGACGCAGCAGGGCGGGCCCCGCCCCGAGGCCGAAAGGAAACACCCTGCCGAGCGGGTTGGAGACCTCCGGGCCCGGAAAGCGGCCTCGTGGAAGTACATGCCAGGCCCGCCGCAGCCCTCCCGACGGGTCGGGGAGGAGGGGCACTCACGCTCCGCGGAGCCGTGCGCACCCTTGCCGCCCAGCTCGCGGTCCAGGCGGCCGAGGTGGAGCTCTGGAAACCCCGCAGCCGAAAGGGCAGCCTCGGCGGCGCGGAGCTCGTCCACGTCGGCCGCAAGGGCGCGACGTTCGCGCATGACCCTGGCCCTCGCCAGCCGCTGAGGGCCCTGCGGCGGTGTCGGCCGCGCGGGCGGGAGCGGGCTGGCCCGCGGGGGGCCCTTCCGCGCATCCACCGCCAGGCCTCCGCCCACTGCTCCCGGGCCTCGGCTTCGGGCGCCGCGAGTTCTCGCAGCGTCGGGGGCGGCCATGCCCTCGGCGTCGGAGGCCGCCGCACGCGCGAGCGAGGCCGCCTCGGCCGCCGCGGCCGCGGCCTGGGCCTTGAGCGCCTCGAGCTCGGCCTCGGCATCCGCCGCATCAGCGGGGGTCACGAAGAGGCCGTCGTAGGGGCCGCACGGGCTGAGGGCGCCCATGGTGCCAACCCCGCGGCCTGCTCCCGCAGCATCGCCTTCGCCAAGACCGCCGCCTTCGTGGCCGCGACGGGGAACGCGGGGAGATCCGTCCTCCCGAGCGGCAGCCAAAGCCGCGCGAAGCCGCGTCAGCTGGCACCCCCGATGGAGGAGGGCGTCGAAGCTGCGCAGCATCGTCGAGACCACGCGGACCTGGGCGCGGGACGCCTGCGCACTCCGCTCGGCGGCAGTCCGCCTCGGTCTGGCGGAACGCCAAGAAAGGGAAGGGCCGCCGACGTCGCCCGTGCGGCTGACAGCACCAGCCGCGCCCGCCGACTCCATGGCACGGGTGGAAGGCGAAAGGAAAAGCCCAGGAGGAGCAGAGCGGGAAGAGGGGAAGGAGAAGGAGGAGGAGGAGGAGGAGGAAATGGAGGAGGAGGAGGAGGAGGAGGAGGAGGAGGAGGAAGGATGGGGAAGGAGGAGGGAGAGGAGGAGGAGGGGAGGAGGAGGCGCAGGAGGAGCGGAGGGGGAAGGAGGAGGAGGAGGAGGGGAGAGGAGAGGAGGAGAAGACAGGAGGAGGCGGAGTGGGAGGAGATGAGGAGGAGGAGGAGGAGGAGAGGAGGAGGAGGAGGAGGAGGAGGAGGAGGGGGAGGAGGAGGAGGAGGAGGAGGAGGAGGAGGAGGAGGAGGAGGAGGGGAGGCGGAGGAGGAGAGGAGGAGGAGGAGGAGGAAGAGGGGGGGGAGCAGGAGGAGGAGGAGGAGGAGGAAGAGGAGGGGGAGGAATACTGCCGCCCATTCTCCATCCCCCGCTCTGTCTGCCTGTCTCCTCCCGCTCCTCCGCAGGGGCCCGGCACCTCGAACCAATCGCGACAGGCAAAATCTCCCTCGCCAGCTCCGGCGTCCGGCGGCGGTGGCCCGGCCCCGGTGTGGGCCGTGAGCTCCAGAGCTTACGCCGCGAGCAATGCACGGCGTCGGAAGCATGCTTCCATCTATCTCTTGCCGTCGCTCGGACGTCCATTCCCCGTGCATGCTTCGGTTTCGCGCGCGTATTGTTTGGCTCCCTGATCCTCGGGATGCTCCTCGATGGTCCTGGCCGAGAAGACGTGCACACGTCCGAGCGATGCCAAGATCTCGTGCTTCCTCCCCCTCCTGTCTCCTCCCCCCCTCCTCCCACCTCCTGCGGCCTTCCTCCTCCCCTCCTGTCTCCTCCCCCTCAAAAACTTTTTCTCCCCTCCTCTGCCTCCCCCCTCCCCGAGTCTCCTCCCCTCCTGCCTCCTCCCCTCTCCCTCCCCTCTCCCTCCCCCTCCTGTCTCCTTCCCCCCCCCTCCCACCTCCTCCCCCTCCTGCGCCCCCCCTTCTGCGGCCCGCCTCCTCCTGCCTACCCCCGTCGTCGTCGTCCTCGCCGCCGACGCCGCCGCCAGAGTCAGAACCGTCGGCGTCGACGCCGCCCGCCACGCCGGCCTCGTCGTCGCCCTCGCCGTCTCCGTCGCCCTCGCCGTCGACGGCTCCTTCGCCGACGTCGCTGCCGCCGCCGTTGGCGTCGCGACGACGTCGACGTCGTCAACGACGCCGTCGCCGTCGCCGTTGCCGTCGCCGTCGGCCACGTCGTGGTGGGCGTCGGCGGCGGGCGGCGGGCGGCAACTGCCGCGCGGCCTGCGGTCCTCGTCGTCCGCGCGGTCGCGGTGCGGGTGGTGGCCGCCTGGCGAGACGCGAGGCCGCGGGCGCGCCGCGGGCCGCGCGCCGCGCCGCGCCTCTTGCGCCCGCGCGGCCGCTCGCGCACTCTCGCGCGCCGCCGGGCGCTCGCACGCTCGCGCTCGGCCTCGCACTCTCGCACTCGGCCTCGCACTCGCACTCGGCTCGCTCTCTCTCTCTCTCTCGCTCTCGTGTCGCGCCCTCTCTCGCTCTCTCTCTCGCTCTCCCTCTCTCTGTCGCTTCTCCCGTCCTCTGCTTCCCTTCTGTCCCTTTCTCGACAACCCCTCGAGGAGGAGGACAGCTTTCCAGCCCCCCCCCCAGGCCGGGCAGCGCGGGCCACGACCACGTCTCGCGCCCCATGGGTCACCTTCCGCGCCCCTGTGGGTGTCATGGAAGATCCCTCCCTGGCTGTCGAGGCATCCGACGGGACCTCTCGCGGGCAGATACTTCAATCCGTTATACGGCTCATAAATCTCGACTCCTTCCCTGGGAGCATGCTGTCGTCCTGCACAATTCTTGATGGACCGAGACGGAGACTGGCCTCCATGTCTCAAGATTGGGGAAAATGATTGTCTTCCATACATCATCCTGGCAAAGGCATCGGGCACCTCCCCCGCTCCCTCCTCTGTCCTCCTTCCCTCCCTCCTTTCCTCACAAACTATCATATCTCCTCGACTCCTCCTCATCCCCTCATCTCCTTCATCGGGGGAAGATAGAAGGTGGAGGCTGTGGAGAGGGGGAGGGAAGGGGGGAAGGCCAGCGGAGGGGAAGGGAGATGCTCGAAGAGAACAGACGAGAGAGGGTTGCGGCGGACGAGGAGGCGGGACAACGATAGGGGGGTCTGGCAGAAGAGGGGAGGCATCGACCTGGCATCGGCGACACGTCGTCAACAGATCGGCGACTGGCCCCCGACAGCGACATCGCACCTTCCTGGGCGGGGTGGGGCTACGAAGCCTCCATCGGCGCTCCATGGGCGATGGGGGATCGATGCGCCCCCCCTACAGGGCAGGTTTAAATACATGGGATTCTTAAAACTATAGGATGTTTAATACATGACTAATATATGAATAAATTTATGCACGAGCTCGTCGTTGTTTTTAATACTGAATCCCTGCATTTCCAATACATGATCCGCACGCGGAGCATGTATCAAAAACGGCACTGCATGCCTATCCCCCGCCTATCGTTGCTTCTGAAAGGAGGCGGGGCCGCGGGGTGGAGGCAGAACAAAGCGGGGGCGCGATCCCCACACGCACCCCACGCGACAGTGTGTGCCAGCAAGTGCACGGAAGGCTCTGCGCGCCCCTCGCAAAGGGGGGCCGGGAAGAAAAACCCACATAAAGGCACAAACTCTTGGGCACCCCGCGCGGATTTCTTGGATCGGCGCAGGGCCCCCCCCCGGGGGGAGGGAGGAGAGCAGAAGTGAGGGAGGGATGGGGGGGAGAGCAGGGCGGACGAGAGCAGGACGAGGGAGAGCAGGAGGGAGGAGGGAACAGGAAGGAGGGAGGGGGAGGCAGGCAGGGCGGAAGAGAGCGGTATGAGGGAGGGAGAGCAGGAGGGAGGAAGGAGCAGGAAGGGAGGGGGGGAGAGCAGGGCGGAGGAGAGCAGGAGGGAGGAGGGAGAGCGGGGGAGACCAGGACGAGGGAGAGCAGGAGGGAGGAAGGAACAGGAAGGAGGGGGGGGAGAGCAGGGCGGAGGAGAGCAGGACGGAGGAGACCTTCCCCCCGAAATTCGACGGCGCGAAGCACTCGAAGCGCACGACAAGGAAATCACGACCGAAGCCCTAGACCCAATCTTTCTGCTGCATTTTTCGAGCTGTATCGATCTGTGAGGGTCCCAGGGCCCGAAACCTGACCAGCTCAAAAAAAAAAAAAAAAAAAAAAAAACGCCAGGATCTCCTGCTTTGGTCCAGTAGGGGCCGCCTTGCGATCACTCCGGCGCACGACCACCCCTTGCGCGAATCCGACTCCTCCCGCCGCCCCCCCCCCGCCTCTTCCTCCTCTAGCCTTTGGTCGGGCGTGTCCTCCTACAAGCGGATTTTGGAAGACAGTTAAATATAGTCAAATAATATTCAAACACAGTCGAAAAACCAAGACACATCGCTTCCGTACTATTTCTCTACCAATCTTGAATATTCCTCCTGTGGATGCCCTCTAGCCGCATGCGGCCCCCTCCCTCCTCTCATCCAGCTCATCCTCGTTTTCCCTGTCATCCTGCCCCTGCGTCTCCTCATCGCTCCTATCGGATCCTCCTCCCCCTCCGGCAAACTAGAGGCCTCCTAGATGGGGTCCGAGTAGATGGGGTCGGAGGATCGCGCCGCATCGCCGATGCATCGTCGATGTATCGGGGACGCACTGGCGACGCATCGTCGACGTCGTCGATGCACCGGCGACGCCGCGTGAAGCAAATCGGGTCCACATCGAGCCGCATCGGCGATGCCTCGGCGATGCGGCGCGATCCTCCGACCCCACCTGCTCTGGGGAAACCAAACGGTACCGATGCCGCTACTCCCCGGACCTCTCCCGGGGTGCGTTCTGACCAGCACTTCAAGGCGAACCCAGCGGCGGCGACGAGGAATGCCCAGGAGGCCCAAAAAGGGGAAAACGGGCGGAGGATAGAGGTATGGGTACCTTTTCCCCCTCTGATACTCGGACCCCACCCAGGATCGGCGGTGGACAAACCTCCCTTTAGTAGACCTCCCCTTAGTGAAGACGGCCTAGGACCGAAACCGACGGACCTGGACCCGCAAAAATGACGGCCGCGACGCCCTCCCGCGAACCGAAAACGGCCAATTCACTAATCGACGTGTCAAGGTAGGAGGTCTGTCCACCCCCGACAGGAGGCCCAGACCAGCGGCCAGCCGTGCGAGGCTCCGACCCCCCCCCGCCCGCCCCGCCTGCGCTGCCGGGCAGGCCCAGGGACCGCGGGGCCTCGCCGCCCGGGGGGGGGGGGGAAGGGCGCGCCCGCGGCGGGCATACGGTCAACCCGCAGAGGAAGGACGCGCGACAAGGATGCCAGGGGCCTTGAAAGCCCACTTCGAAGTCTCCGAGCGGGGCGCGCGACCGAGGAAAGTGGCCGAGGATGCACCGACGAGGCAGTGATGCAAGGGTACCCTTGGGAAGGTTGCCCAGCCTAACTGTGCGGGTGGACTGTAGGGGAGGGCCGGATCAGCCAGCGCCGCAGCGCGAGGTCGCATCGGGTCGGACATCTGCCCACGTGCGTCAGTCGGGCGGGTGGTAGTGGGGTGCGATGCGATGCGATGCGATGCGACCACCGTTGCGGACAGCGTCCGGGCCTAGAGCAGACCAGGTGGGTGAGGCCATGGCCTCTAGGATGTGAGGTGTCTGGATTCATGCAATGCGAGACATGTAAAAAGTTAGGAGGAGAGGGGGAGGAGGAGGAAAAGAAAGTCCTTGGTGTCGGTGCGGCGCGGGCTGACCCAAAGGGGGCTGACCCCAAAAGGGGGGGAAGGAAAGGGCCCCGAAGAGGCCCTCGAGGGCCCCTTGAACAAAAACACCAGCTGGCTCCCAAAGGGGCCCTGAGAGGCCCCATTGGGGATCTTTTCTCCACCCCCGATTTGGGTCACCCCCGCGCGGGTCCGGCAACAAAAAATTCGGGTCGAGGGCGATGAACCAATAACAGCTGTTTGTCTATCGCCCAAGAGCTCAGACTCAGACGTGATGATTGTTTCAGAACGTCGACTCTGGAGGTCGACCCACTGCCCGGGACCAATTTTTCGTCCTGAATCGTTTCTTGAAGGTCCCGAGGCCCGGCAAGGACCCCCTGAGGCCCAAAATAGAGAAAAACCTCAGGTCGTGATTTGTTTATGACTCGAGGGGGTCTGGGGCAGCTGAGCCGAGCGTTGGATGGGACCGCAATCAAAGGACCAAACAAACAATGGGCGGCGAGCCCGGGGGGCAAGTGAGAAGGAGCGGGCCTTCTCAGAAGGCTCGGAAATCTCTTGGCCTTCTGATAAGATTTCAAAGCCTCTTTCGAGGACGCAGAGAATTCCTCACAAGGCTGGAGGGCCTCCGAGAAGCCCCTCCGCCTTCTGAGAAGGGGCCTTGCCCTTCTCGCTCTCCCCCCTCGCTCGCGGCCCAGAAAAAAAAGAATCGGATCGAGCCTGGCGAAACCTGAATCGAATCAGCTGGGGTGAGTGCACGGTTTCCCCCGGGGCCGTAGGCGACCTGAGGAGGAGGAGGAGGAGGAGGTGGAAGGGGAGGGGGAGGAGGAGGTGGAGGGGGGCGGAGTGGAGCAATCGGACGTAGTCCGTTCGGGGGAACAAAACGCCAGGGAGGGCCATCCAGATTTTCTCGGGGTGGCGTGGGTGGCGACATCCCACGGCACCTCGCGACAGGCCCTCCCCTGGCCTCACAATTTACTCAGAGCTGGAGCCCCTCTCCGAGGCTCCAGGAAGATTAGGCTCTTGCCTGAGGCTCGAGGCGACCTCTCGAAGGACGCTGGCCTCGGATGAAATTCCACGGGCTGAATTACTGCTGGGAGCTGCCGTCGCTGACGGCAAGGACGCGTCTGGGGCACAATCGAGCTCAGCCGAGGTCGGTCCTGAGAACGGCTTGGAGCTTCGCTCCCTGGGGCTCTCGCGGGGGACGGGAGCACCGCTGGGAGCCGCCACAGACGCTATCGCAGCTTCGGCTGCTGATTCATGCATTGCGGCTAAAACAGACTTGCTGGGACCCGATCTGGACGGGTGGAGGCCACGTCGGATCCTGCTGAGGTTCTCGAGGCCTTTACCAGTGGGTCCCAGGGCCCTGCGCTCGCCAACTTGGTGGCTGAGCGGGCAGGGGTACTGTAGGTTTTTGACCTGGTGCGTGGCCGTATGGCCGCACTTGACACAGAAGAACATTTGCCATTTGGGGATGGCGGCCAACAAGTGGGAGGGGTGTATCGCCTTGCCGCTGATCACACGGGGGCCCCTCGTCAAGAGGACCTCACCACACGCAGCAAACTCAGGAAGGGGGCTAGGCGGTACACACTCCGATGCGGCAGCTGGAAATATCTGGCAAGCGTCGACGATAATGCGACAGGAAGAGCATCGCCATTTATCTACACACCGAACGAATTTGCGCTGAGAATCCGCGAGAGCGGTCTGCAACTGGGAACGGGGAGCAGCCTCTTGTGCGGGTTGCTTCTCTGGCCACTGTCCTCGTGGCTCTGCATTCTTTCCAAAAGAGCGAAGAATTAGGCGTGCACGCTGGCGGACGACCGCAGCGATAACATCATATTCATCAGTCCTGGGCACGGGCGGGAGGGCTTGGGTGGCCGCCTTGTGGGCCGCATCTCCCGCAAGCTCGTCGGCTTGCTGGTTGCCGAGAGCTAGGAATTTCTGAAAGCCGTGCAGGGTCTGAGGATCGGCGTGGGACGGGGTCCAGAGCACCGTGACCGAGTCAGCTCCACGCTGTCGATCCTGCACGAGATGCCGAATTCTCAGCCAGAGGTGACCATTCTTATTCTTACCTTTGAGGCTACCTGGCCTGAGACATCTACCATTCTGCCAACCACGCTGCAATGCTAGGTGGTCGGTGACATAGGTGAAATCCTGGGGGCACGTCTCTAGTGCCAGGCAGAACGCATGCAATTCTCCTCTTGGGACGGTCTGGCGGGAGCCTGATAGGGGAGCATGGAGGCCCGAGTGGAGGGCCCAGGAGGCCGAGGGAGGATCCCAACGAAGAGCAGCAAGGCCTGAACCGACGCGACGTCTCCTAACGTCGTCGGAATAGGCTCCGCCAGACCCGTCCCCAAAGAGATACAACTCACCTTCGCCATTACGAGCTCCTTCCCACGCAGGCAAACCCTCCCGAACCTCACCCGAAAACCCCCACCCGTCCCTCCCAGTCACTGGCTCGTAAGAGGGCGTAGTGAGAGCAGAAGAGGGAAGGCCACGGAGCCACAAAGCGGGGTCGGCATCAGCCCCCGCTAGAGCTCGCGGCAGTAGCTTGTCGCTGGCCTCGAACTCGGGCCCAACATTCGCATCGCACTGCCACATGCGATGAAACAGGGTTTCAGGGACGCGAGCGCTGCAGCGATCACAGTTTCTGTCGATCTGGTAGCCTGCGTTGTGGAGGCGGTCTCTGGTCCACTGTCCTCCGCTGATGATGGTATTGTTGAGGGCCCAACCGCTGAAGTCGCCTTTCGCGAGGAACCTCTTTTGCTCGATGCGGATAGTGACCATGTCTGCGCCTCCTGCAAGCGTGTCTCCATGGATGTGTGTAGCGGCCTGCCTCCAGAGAAGTCGGTGTAGATCTTCGCTGAGGTCTTGCAATACTGCGTGGATGTCGGCGTCGAGGAGGTCTGGGTCGTCGGCGAGAGGAAGGTTCCACTCCTCGAGGTAGCCGTCCTTCGTGCGCCTCCACGTCGTAGCGGAGGTCGGCTCCCAGCTGGCCTCTAACAGGGTCGCGATGGCCGCGCCTGTGGGGCCCTTCACCTTGCACCACATCTTGGGGCCAGCGGCGAGCAGGGTGGTCTTGATCCTTGGCCAGGCTCTGATGATCCTGGCGTGCGTGTTCGGGTGGCGCATCCAATGCTGAAGCCACGCCTCGAGGAACTCCATCCTCAGGGAGACGCCAGGGTCCGCGCCGTCGAAGGTGGCGCCGAGGAGGGACGTGAGGCAGCGCCCCGCGGCAGAGCCCGTCGCGGCTATGGCGGCCTGTCGACGCCAGCGGAGGAGAGCGCGCCGAGCGAGGCCATGAACCTGATGTCCGAAGACTCCTTCGGGAAGACCGCCCGTGCGCCACAGGCCAGCGGAAATACGGGCCTGCTGAGCAGTGCTCCGTAGTCGATGTATTTTGCGAAACCTGGCGGTGGCCGGCTTCTGCCGCTTCCTGGCTTTGGCTTGTGCTCGTCGGGTAGCAGCAGCGGCGTCCACGCCTAGGTCAACGGCCGTGGACGTCGCAGTTACTGGAATGTCGTACTGTCGCATCTGCTTGGCGAGCAAGTGGCGGACCTTGGGTGTAGAGCAGATGAGGACGGTCTTGTCTGAGATAGGCAACTCGAACTCCTTCAAGCCGTCGCAGAGCATCTTGGCAGCAAGGGGGAGGTGCTTCTGCAACGCTCGTAGGACACCTTCAGCTCGTAGTACCGTGTCGTCCACGAAGGTCCACATCTGGGCTAGCTCTGCCTGTGCTTGAGCATGTCGAAGAATAGGTAACAAAATAAGTCGTGCCAGGGTGGTGCCGTGAGGGGAGCCTGCAATGATGCCCTTGAAGGCGAAGATAGGCATGCTCACCCATTGACGACTGCGCAAGAACCTGGGCGCCAGGTAGAGCTGTACTTCCAATAATAGAATGATGGCAGGGAAGCCGCAGTTGAGGCCCACCATGATCAGGTTGGCGAGCTTGATATTGTCGTAGAATTTCTGGATGTCTAACAGCAAGGTCGCGGACTGAATGCCGAGTGCTGAGGCTGTCTCATCTAACAAGGCCCTATGTAGGGCGGCTTGGAGAGCTGAAGAGCCTTTGATGGCTGTAGTCCAAAAGTCGTCAAGTCCTTGCGACCAAACTTCCGAAGCAGTAGATCTAATACGAGACCAGAGTCGGGCCATGTGTGGAAGCATGCCAAGGACTCTGTCGCCTCCCGCTTTCTTGGCGGCGAGAGCTGCAATGGTGCCTGAAATTTGTAAAGGCCAGATGCCAGCTTGCTCCACTGAATTGAGAACATCTGCATAGGCTTCGACGGCAGGTTCTGGCAATCGATGAAGGTCGCGAGGTCCGAGGGCATCAACTCCATGTGCTTTACTTGGTGGCATGCGGCCGTGTATGCGGTGTACTTGCTCGGCTGTGATGGGCTCGAGAGGTTGACCAACAGCTGCTGCCTTGGCCTTATTCAGGGCCTGGAGGATGTCGTCGGAGGTCTCGGTGGCGTGCCAGACTTGCTGCCATTGTTGCTTCTTGTTGTCCATGATGACGGTGGGGTCGGCGGTGGTCAGGTTGGCCGTGTAGGCCTCGATGTGACGTACAGGTGCAGGCTTAACATGGGCGTGTAGAACTCCAGGACGGCGCTTCCATTGTTGGGCAAGCCAAGCCCCGTAGGCCCTCTTGGACTTGGCGAGGGCGGCCGAGAGGGCTCTGGAGGCCCAGGTAGCGGTAATAGTGACCAGGTCGTCGGTCTCGTCCTTGTCCAGGTGCGGGGCCCAGACGAGCGCGAACCAGCGGAAGATGGTGTCCTCATCCTTCTCGAACTGGAGGTCATGGCTGTGGCTGTTGAAATGGTCGGCGCGCCGCTGGATGATGGTGGCCTGCTGCCCCATAAGCGCTGCGTGCTTAGGCTTGTCGATGAGCGCGGCGTAGCGCTTGATGAGGGTGAGCGTAATGGCCCACCATTCCGACTGTGGATCATGTACGTGGACGCGGCCTGGTGCAGCCGCTGTCTTCTTCCAAGATAGCTGGTAGCCCTTAGCACGGCCAGTGTATGCTGGGGCTTCCTTCGGGTCGATCTGGTGGTGGCTGATCATGGTGTTCTCGAGGGCCGTGACCCAGTTGGCGTACTTGAGGTTGAGGAGGTCGGCGTCGTGCGCCCAGTGCCGGTACACGAAGTGCGCGTGCGGCTGCTTGCAACGTGTGGGGGACGCCTCCTGCCATTGCTTTTGCCACAAGTCCAGCGGGATGGCGTAGGAGATCGGGTTCGGCGCTGCGAGCTCGACCTGTGGCTGAAGTTGCGCTGCTGCTTGTTGAAGTTCAGGAGGTAGGTCACGAAGACGAGCTGCTCGAGCTTCAGCTGCTTTACGTTTCTTGATGGCGGTCTTGCTGTTGGGGTCTGGTGGTATCCTGGGCCTGTCCACTGTGGGGAAGGCCTTGGGCGTAGCGATAGACTGATACCACCACGGATCTGCGCTGCCTGCTCGAACTTCGAGGCCAACGTGGGTGGCCCACGGTACTGTGGGGCACTGGCGGATGGAAATGGTGTGCTCGATGCCCGTCTTGACCAGTGCGAAGTCTAGCGTGAGCCCCTGGCCCTTGTCGCAGGTGGCGGATCCAGGTGCTCGCACGATGGTAGCATTCCATTTGGCCAGCCACTCTGTCGCTGCAAGCTGCTCGGGTGTCATGTTCCAATCTGCCAAAATGATCCAAGGGTCTGTCAGCATGGTAACGAAGGCGCCCAGCGAGAGCAGCTTGTCGTGCACTGCTCCCTCGATCAGCCTGCGGGGTTCCAGATAAGCTGCAATAACAACCAAATTGCCAGAGCGTCTGTGCCATACCATGGGCGCGAAGCCGAGGAAGGGGTCTGGCCTGCGCTGAGAAATGGCAAGATCTCGAAGATGGTTGAACGAGGTGGCCTGGACGTGGTACCTGGATAAGATGATCTCGCCACCCGTGTTGCCGTCGTCTGATCTTCTGGTAGGGGTGGCCGTAGTCGATGAGATTGCCCAACCGTCCGCTGCAATCTTGTCGTAAAGAGCGGCGCTTTCTCAGGCGAGATGTGTGTTTCGACTAGGGCTGCCATCTGATATTGCTTGCCTGGGCCTGCCAACCATTTCTCATACTGTGGTCCCCATTGTGTGATGTTGGAGAAAACAGGGAGTGGTCAGACTGCGGGAACTTCGTGGGGCCTTTCTCTTGGTTGGCAGGCGTAGGATCAGCTCTCACGCTGCTGCTGGGCTTCCCTGGCCCCAACACCACAGGACTGTCGACAGCTTTCGCCATCTCATCACCCCCTACCAAGGACTGCGTCTTGGGCGGAGCGGCATCAGGGTTTGCCTTTTGCGGAGGCCCCCCTGGTTCCAACACCACAGGAACGTCGACCGCTTGCGCCGTCTCATCACTCCCTACCGAGGACCGCGTCTCGGGCGGAGCGGCATCAGGGTCAGTCCGAGCAGCGCGCTGAGGCTGTCCTGGACCCAACACCGCAGGGTGGTCGACGGTCTGGGCCGTCTCATCGCCCCCTACCGAGGGCGGCGTCTCGGGCGGGGCGGTAGCGTACTGCTCGGACTCGGCGTAATCGAAGTGGGCGTCCAACTCGGCCAGCTCGTCGAACGGGTCGAGGACTGCGTCCATTGTGTTGATGCTCGCTGGGTTGTCGTAGAGCGTGGTCTCTGACGGTGGCCGTCCCGTCTCACCATTCCGTCGAGGGTTGTGTTGTAGTCGGCTAAAGAGGCTGCTGCGGCCCAACGGCGGCGGCCGCGGTGGGCTTGCGCACCTGGATGAGCATCTTCTGAGCCTTGTCCTCGAGGTCGGGGTCCTTGTTGAGTGAGGGTACAGGCTGGGTGACGTAGCCACCGTCAGAAGCAGCGCCAGCAGTTGGCGCAGGAAGCCCGTCGCTTGGCGCCGCCGGCGGTGGGGGCGCCGCGCCTTCAGCATCAGCTGCGGCTGCCGCTGGGGACTCGCCTGCTGCGGCCGCGGCGGCTGGCGGTGCTCCACCGCCCGCTCTGGCGTGCCCGTCCTCGTCGGCGCGCTGCCGCTTGGAGGCGAAGCGCGTGCGCATGGTGGTGGCCTCTGCGCGGAGCTGGCTGATGTGGCTGGCAGTGTTGCCGAAGAGCTCGGTGACCTTGGCCTTGAGCTCCGTGGCGAAGCGCTGCTGCAGGGACTCCCAGGCCTGGCGGTCGTTGTCGTCGACATCGAGGCCTTGGAGGTCGAACGCCGCACCCGCTTCGATGGAGATGTCGCCGTCCTCCAGGAGGCTGGTGAGGTTGAAGGTCGGGGTCGGCTGCGTCTGCATAGGAGTGGCTGTGCCGCCTTTGCGGGCGGCTTGGAGGGCGTCGAGCGCCGCCTGGGCCTCCGCTTGTGCTTCGGCCAACTTGTAAGCGGCCTCCTCCGACGCCTGTTTGCGCTCAGTGTACCAGTTGAGCGCCTTCTGCTCGCTCTCCAGCAGCCTCTCGAGGTTATTCTTGCAGCGGCGCTCCGTAGCCTGCGCGCGGCTGTAGGTCTCGTTGAGGTCGGCGGGTTTCTGCGGCTGGGGCGGCGGGATCTGCGACTTGATGCCGTCGATGGCGGACTTGTCGATGTGAGGAGGGACTGCCTGGAGCTCCGCCAGGATGTCCTCGGCGGAGCGGGCCTTGGGGCTGTCGTTCCTGCTGGCCCACCAGTCGTCGTCATTGCCCTTGCCGTTGCCCTTACCACGGCGGCGGCGGGACTTGGGCCAGGATGACCACGGCTCCCAACCTCCCTCGGCGTGGGTCGGCTGGGTGGTCTTGGCCTCGGCCTGGGCTGCGGCTGTGACGCGGGCCGCCCAAGCACCTTGCACGGGTGGAGGGCTGTCCGTCCACGGCGCCAAGGCTTTGCCACACCAGTGGCACGACTCCTTGCCCTTCCAGTTCCAGGCGAACGAGCAGGAGTAGCACTTGACGTAGGCATTGCGCTGCTGCGGTGGTGCCATGGACGAGCGGAAGAAGAATGGGTCTGTCCCCTCACCTGGTGTGTGCCAGGCGGGGGTCGCTCCTCGCAGGAGCTCGCTGAAAGACTGATAGCTGCCTCGGACTAGAGGTATCCGTTTCTGCCAATGCGGGCTCAGCCCGCCAATGGAAAAATCTTGAGCCAAAATGGCTACGGAGGAGGAGGTGGAGGGGGGCAGAAGGAGGTGGAAGGAGGAGGAGGAGGAGGAGGAGGAGGAGGAGGATGAGGAGGAGGAGGAGGAGGAGGAGGAGGAGGAGGAGGAGGAGGAGAGGAGGAGGAGGGTAGTAGTAGGAGTAGGAGGAGTAGGAGGAGGAGGAGGAGGAGGAGGAGGAGGAGGAGGAGGAGGACGAGGAGGAGGAGGAGGACGACGACTCGCCTAAGCCCTTCGGAGAAACCCTCCAAGGTGGTGTGGGCGAGGGCGCGAGCCGGGGGCACCACACAGCGGGAGCGCGGCCCCCGCGGTACCCTCGGAGCACCGGGCGCCGAGAGCGCCTCGCACCACCGGGGGGCTCTCTCGCGACGTCTCGAGCAAGCCGGGGCCCTTGGGGATGGACCCAGCTCGAGATACGCCGCAGAAAGATGGGACCTAGGCCTCCCGTATGTCTATGTGTGTAGGTTTGTGTGTATATATATATGTGTAAGTATGTGTGTCTATGTTTATGCGTAGGTGTATATAAACATGCATACATATATATACATGTGTGTGTGTGTGTGTTAAGAAATGTATGTGTGTATGTGTGTTTCAATATATCGAACACGCCTACGGCGAGTCACCGCCGCCCCCTGCCTGTTTGGGAGCGCCTATGCGGCCGAAGGTTGGGCTAGAGCTATCGGGCCATGTCTTCCCCCCGCCGTCGTTGAAACTTTTCGGGGAACACGTGCGGGGGCTTCTTGGAGGCCTCCTGGGGGCATCCTTGAGCCCCTTTGGAGCCTTTTGGGGCTTGTTCGGGGCCTCATTGGCCGTCTTGGGGCTTTCCTGGATCGTCTGTAGCCGTCGGAAGCCGTCTTTGGGGCCTCTCTTAATCGACTTGGGGCCCTCTGGGGGCCGTCTTGGAGGCCTCTTGGGCCCTTCTGAACCCTCTTCGGCGATCTTGGGATCTTGGGGGCTGTTGGGCCGTTTCGGGCCGTCGAAGACCGAAACAAAATGAATGCCAAAATCCGGCCTCGCTGGCCTTCTGGGCATTAGGATAAACATTGACTGAGGCCTCTCTGGGCCTTCCTGGGGGCCATTTTGTATGCCTTTTGGGCCGTCTGCGAAGTCTCTTGGAGGCACTTTTGGCCCATCTTGGGTTGTCTTGGTGCCTGATTGGGCGGACTTGGATGCATCTTGGGCCTTCTTGAGCCGTCTTGGAAGCAATCTTGAACCATCTTGTGGGAGGACAGAAAACCGTCACCAGCACTGAGAAAACATGTGTTTCGTGAAACTTGAAAATGAGTTTTGGGCCACCATGAGCCCGTCCCGGCCTACGGAGTCGCAGAGGGGGCGGGGAGGGGGTGGGCTGGAGACATCGCGCAGCGAGCAGGAAGGAGGGCAGGACACAAAACATGTAGGCGAGAGGCGGAGCTGGCGGGCGTTCTCGGCCGGGATGTTCCTCACCCCACCATCGCCCTCCTCCACGCGTCCCCCCACCCGTCTGTCCCCCACCCACTCCCTCTCCTAGGGGAACGAAAAGTGACGTAAACATACAAACTCGGAGGTCCGCGCGGATTTCTCGGATCGGCGCTGACCCCCCTCCCTGGCGCGCGGAGCGCGCCAGGTGCGGCGCCGGAGGGGCCGCCAGGGGGCCCCAGCGCCGTTCCGAGGAACTCCGCGCGGACCTCCGAGTTTTTCTGTTTATGCCACTCTTTGCTCCCCTAGGAGAGGGAGTGGGAGGGGGACAGACGGGTGGGGGGAGGCGTGGAGGAGGGCGATGGTGGGGTGAGGGACATCCCAGCCGAGAGCGCCCGCCAGCTCCGCCTCTCGCCTGCCTGTTTTGTGTCCTGCCACTCTTCGTTCCCCTATCTCCCCTCCTCCCGCCCGCCCCTTGCCCGCCCCCGTCGCGTCCCTCCCACCCGCCCCTCCTCCCCTCCTCCCCTCCCCCTCCCACTCCCTCTCCCCTCCTCCCACCTGCCCCTCGCCCGCCCCCGTCGCGTCCCTCCCCCCCCTGCGAGCCCGAGGCCGGCGCCCGAAGATCCCGAGGGGGCCTGCCCCGGGGTGGCACGCAGGCAGGGAGGGCAGGGGGCACCAGCCCCCAGTGCTCGCCCCTGCCCCCTCGCACCCCCCCCCCCCCCTCCCTGCTGCAATTCCTCCCCCCTCCTCCCCCTCCTCCTCCCCCTCCCCCTCCTCCCCCTCCTCCCCCTCCTCCTCCTCCTCCTCCTCCTCCTCCTCCTCCTCCTCCTCCTCCTCCTCCTCCTCCTCCCGGCCTTGAATTGTAGTCTCGAGATGTATCGCCAACGGAGGCGCAGATGTAAGCCTCTTGGAAAGGAGCATCAACGAGGGTGAGAGTCCCGTTTGTCATCTGCTGCAGCAGCTCAGGACGCTGGCCCGCGACTCAGTCTAGCAGCGGGGGCATATCTGGCGGGGTTGCGCTGTTCCAAGCGGGGTACGCCTCGTATTAGGGTGGCGTAATGTCTTGGATGTCTCTGCTACTTGTTTCTAGAGGTAGGAAAGGGGTATGGTGTAAAGGGGTGTGGTGTTGATTTCATGTGAAGGGACTCTGGCGATGATATTCATCGCAGATAGCAACGCCATTTTCACGATTGGCACCATACCCCTTTATGCCACACCCCTTTTCCGACCTCCAGAATCTGGATGAGCAGAGAGTTCTGAAGAATTCGTCCACCCTCACGAGCGGCGAGCATATGCGTGTCCGCGCCCTCGTGGTCTCAACTCCAGAGCACGATCCCGCGGGTACGAGGTCTCACGGATACGTCCCGCGCGAGGCATCCGCGAACAAAGACGTCCCGTATTCCAGACATGGATATATTTTTCGCCCACGACTCCCCCATCCTCCTCCCTGAAAGCCCTGTAGCCCCTCCTCACCCCCTCCTCCTCCTCAACCCCTCCGCGTCTAACTTCATGCAGGCTCCGGTGCAGCGGCGGCCGGGTACCGGAGGCAGCTTGCCGTCGGCGTCGAGGCCCTGCAGCAACTTCATAAGCAGCCTTCCAAGAGGGGGAATACTGCCAGAAGCACCAGGTAACAGAAATATCTGGCAGCAGACATTCAGAGCCTGGTGAAACCAGAGGCTACAAGCCAAGTGGAGGAGAGCTGCGACAAACGACGCTCGGGTAGCAGGTCCAGCAGGATACTCAAGGCGTCACTTGCCCAGACGGCACGCGGCGCGAGAGCAGGAGGAGGGTCTCAAACAGTTCTCAGGGCTCTGCAAGAGTATAAGAAAAGTACATGTTCGCGGTGCAAGGGAGTAAGAAGGGGGAAAGGGTGGGATATGCAGCGGAAGAGGATGGAGATGAGTTGCAGAGTCATCTAAGAGTATGCGCGCAGAACTCGATTTAACCAAGGATGGTGGGAAGGGGTCGAAGCTGGCGTGGCTGGGTTGGTAAGAATTCCTATTTAGAACAAACGATCGGGCATTATAATTTGCAAATTGCATACATCCACAGGTTGTATCGATCATCCGGGGGGGGGTAGGTTCTAACTCCTTCTTAGAAAGGAAACTGTACAGTGTGCAATGTATGTGGTCTTAGCAAATGTGGGGCAACATGCCACATCCTGTTTGGTGCACTCTATGTTGTGCTAGCTATGTGGTGCAACCTACGTGGTGTCATACACAAGGTGCAATTTATGTGATGCAATCAATCACTTGCTCAACTTGAAACTGTCCTCTTCACTGCTCTTGCACACATCCCACCCTCCCACCCGCAACTTGGTCGCGAGACCTGACAAGACCGTGACGGTAGGTACCAAATGGCACTTGGCAGCGACACCGACGCCGACAACGACAGCGACAACGACGACGACGACGCCGCCGACACCGACTACGACGACACCGACAACGTCTCAAACAACTACGACGACGACAACGACGACGACGACGACACCGACGACGACGACGACGACGCCGACGCCGACGACGACGACGACGATGACAATGCCGACGACGACGACGCCGACGACGCCGACGACGACGACGACTACGCCGACGCCACCGACGCCGCCGCCGACGACGACAACGACGACGTCGCCAACGAAGACGACGACGAGAACGACGACAACGAGGGAGGAGGGAGGACGCGAATGACGAAGTAGGAGGGAAGACGGCGACGCCGACGACGACAACGACGAGGGAGGAGGGAAGACGACGACGACGACAACGACGACGACGGCTACGACATAGGAGGGACGACGACAAGACGCCGACGATGGACGACAATGACGAGGGAGAAGGACGACCACGGCGACAACGACGACGGAAACGACGCCAACGAGAACGACGACGACGACGACGAGGAAACGCACAGGACGACGACGGCGACGACGACGACGACGAAGGAGGAGGGAGGACGGCGACGGCGACAACGACGACGACGCAAGAGCGCGCGCGCACACTTTTGTGGAAAATCCGTGTTGCGAACCCCAGTGGGCACTCGATTTTGACATCCTGTATTTTGAAGGATTCCGGCATGCGTGCGCGACGACGCGCGCGCGCACTTCGTTACATGTTTTGCAGAAGATTCTCGCGACGGCACGCGCGCAAGGGCGTTCGAAAGATTTCGACACGCGCGCGCGAAAAACCCGTTTGGTAGTATGTTTTGAAAATGTTGAAAAAGCTATGGTTTTCTTGAGATTTCACCGGAGCGCGCGCGTAATCTGTTTTTAAGAATTCAGTGTTGCGAAACCATGTTTTTTTTGCATGTTTTGGGGGCTCGATTTGAAGAGCCTTCTGACACCAAAAATAATTGAAGGATTCTGGCATGCGCGCGCGATGACGCGCGCGTGTGGACTTCGGTTTTTGGTGTTGTACAGGACTCTTGGAAATTTTTGATTTGGGATAAACGAGTGCGCGCGCTTACCATGTGTTGCAGATGGGGGGGGGGGAGGTCGATACCGGTCTGGCTGCGATACTATGAATTCACAAATCGGATGGACATTGGGTCAGACTCCGTGTGTTTTGCATCGTCCCCGGGGGGTCTTTGAACCCGGGGGGAAAGGGGGGGAGAGCCTATTTTCATCGCAGAAAGGAGGATCGATGCGTTGACTTCAACGAGGTGCCGTACAGGTGGTGCGAGCTGCGTGAAATAAGCTGAGAGATGGAAGATCGTTGGTGTGATCTGTTGTATAAGTTATGCAGTATAAGCTGTGTGGTGCGACATATGCGCTATGATATATGTGGTGCGAACTACGTGGAGCAAGCTATGTGGTGCAAGACATGTCGTGAAAACTACGTGGTGCACTTCATGTGTTAGAAACAAGTGATGCAATCGATGTGAAGAAAACCGCGCGGTGCAACATATGTGGTGCAATGCATGCAGGGCAATATCGGCGACGAGGCGGCGACGGCGGCGACATAGCCACCATACCGACGGGCAGGTCCAGTCCCTCGGGACAAAAACCAGAAACCCTAAGCGCAACCAGTGTTTGAAAACATGTACATACACCCGCGCATACAAAAGGCACATGTACACGTATTCACCTATTCACATATACGCATTTACGCACACGTGATACACGTACCCATACGCGCACACTTACACACAAAAACATGATAGGTATGTTCTTACATACACGCAGCTAGCCGTACGTATAGCTGTTTATACATATACACATGTCGCCACACACTACACATATAATTATGCAAAGATGCATATACATATGTATGTGCGCGTATCACTATAGATATAGGATTCCCAGGGTGCACTAATTACTTCGACGGTAGGACCCCGCATGATAATCCTTTCGGCTAGTCTGGAAATGGCCCTCTTGAAGCGTCCTTACTGTCTCCTCTGCGTCATTATCCTCCTGGCCCTGGCGCAAGCTTTCCTCCCGCCCCCCGCGTCGCCCCCTCCTCGCCTTGTTGTTTTTGTTGTTCATCCCCCGCCACCTCCCCCCTTTCCATTGCATGGGCGCGCGCGTCGATTTTCCTCGGCGCCGTCGCTGCCTCGGCCAGCGCGGGCGCAATCTCTCATGGTCGCATTGCGCCGCAGCCGTCGGGGCAGCCCCGCGGGCCAGGCCGTCGAGGCTACCCCGCGATCCGCCGGCGCGCGGGGCCAGGTCGTCGGGCCGTCGGGGCAAGCCCGCGGGCTTCGAGCGGGGCGCTGACGCGCTCTGGCGGGGGGCAGCGCGAAGCCCAGCTCTGCCGCGAGCGGCTTTCCGCGCTGACGTCGAGCTCCAGGGGCGTCTTCCGCAAGGGCGCTGGCGGCCCTCGCTCCAGGAACTCTCGCGGCGGCGGCGGCCGCGGGATCAGCGCGTTCCGCGCGCGCGTGGCGCGGGGGGCGCATGACGTGGGGGGCGGTCACTACTGGTCGCCCAACGCGCCCGCGCGGCCAGCGCCCTCGCCCCTCGCGCAGCCGATGGCGACGCGCTCGCGCAGCGTCTGGCCCCGCGACGGCGCGGAGGTGGGGCAGGGCGCGCGCGCCGCGGTGAACCGCGAGCGGCGCGCGGCGCGCGGCCCCGAACTTCGCCTCGTGAGCTCCTGCTCGATGGGCCTGAACATCGGCGAGCTTCGCGCCCGCGCCTCGGCCTGGCCGTCGTCGCCGGCGCCGTCGGCGCTGCGTCGCAGCAGCTCGGCGACCCCCCGGTAGATCGGAGACTCCTTGAGGCCGCGCGCCTGCGGCCAGATTCGCGACGCTGGCCGCGGAGAACCACGGCGTCCTGGGCCCTCGGCACCAGCGCTGACACTTTCGACTTGGCGGCGGCACGGGCATCTACTGGGAGACGCTGGCGAGGTGGATCAACGCGCGCGCTCGTCGCGACGCGCGGCGTCTGGGCGCCCCCCTCGCCGCCCTGCAGGCCGCGGGCGAGTGCGACGCGATCCAGGGCGATCCCGACGCGGGTCGGCGCCTCCTGAACGCCCGGAACATTGGCGCGACGGGGACATCCACGGCGCCTTGCTCGGCGCGGGAGTGCGATTCCCCGCGGCGCAGGAAGACTTGGAAAATAAGTTTGGGCTCGCGCAGGAGCAGCGGGCCACCGTCGCGCCCTTGGAGTTCCACCCCGAAGACGAGGAGCGGCGCGAGGAGCGCTCGCCAGGTAGGCGGGCCAGACCTCTGGCGGGAAGGGATTGCCCTCGCGCGCGCAGTCAACTAACGCGATCAGAGGGCCCCCGGGCTCGAAGCGCTTCGCGTCTTTCTGCTCGAAGACGCAAGGGATCTGAACAGACCTTCATGGCGCGCTGAAGCCCCGCCGTCGGCGTCTCCGCCTACTTGCGCGACCCGTCTTCCAAGAGCTCGCTCGCGCCCGTCAAGAGGCCGGCGCTGCCCGCGGGCTCCAGCTGCAGGAAACAGCCGAGGTGCAGCGCGATGGGGGGCGCGCCCGGAACGTCGGCGCGGCCGCGCGCAGGTGGGCCCCTGCACGTCGCGCGCGTCACTACGAGCGTGGCAAGCGCGAAGGTCCAGCGCGTTGCGCAAAGCTGCCGCCGCCGTGCTCACCACCACGGTGACAAAAACGCCCACGTGCCCCCACGACCACTTCAACCTCTCCTGCACGCCCCCCGGCCTCAGCTTCGCGTCGATGTACTTCTGGACTCGCATGGCGCAGGCGTTGCGCAGCGCCCTGGCCTTCGCCGCCCCCGCGGAAATGTTTTTTCCCTGCGCGTTCGAGAAGGCCGCGACCCTCGCGCTGGCCTTGTCCAGCGCCAGCGAGGGCCACAAACACTCCACGACTGGGGAGGCGATCTTCTGCACGACGCGCGCGTTCCCCGAGCCGCCCTGGCCCAGCGGGAGCAAGTGCGTCACATTTCTCTCGCTCCAAGGCTTCTGCTGCGCGTCGCCCCCCTGGGCCTCGTCGCAGGCCCCGGCGCATGCGGCGACGAAGAACGTCTGGCCCCGCCCACGTCCTCCTCGCTGGCGGCCGCCGCCGGCCCGAGGGCCGGTAGGTGGCTCAACCTGGGGGGCCGCAGAGATGGAGGGGAAAGGCGCCCCCGGCCGGCCCCCCCGCCTTCCGGTCGGCCGGGGGCGAGAGGCAGGGGGGCAGGAGGAGGGGGGAG